CTGCTTTTTTTTGGAGGAAATTTTTTGTCGCAATGAGTGCGCACCTGTAAAAGTTCTCGCTCGCGCCGACTGCGACAATCGCATATGCGTTTGTGAGAGTAGAAAAGACACCAACTTCGTTGGAGTTTTCAAATTGCGCGCGGACAGCCATGATTGCTAGTTTCTCGGTGTAGGGTGTTCGCAAGGGTTGTAGAGGTGAAGGTTTGTGGTTGGAGAGTAGGGCAAGGGGTAGAAGCGCGCAGCTATCGAGCTGATTGTGTTGTTCTGCAGAAACTGTGAAGAGGCGTAACTATTTTGTAAAGAGCGACATCATTTAGCCCCGCTACTTGATTAGGACTAGTGCGGCGGGCGCTATTTCGACTCATCCTGAGTGAACCTTGCGAGGGTCTGGCTGCCCTGTCTCGGCGCATCCAAATGTCCATCTTGGGCAAAGTATGGCTGTGACTTGTAAAGAGTCATCGACTGAGCCACCGCCACGGTTCCAAGGCGAAGAAACAGCCTGATCACGGGACATGATGTAACCATTTGGCAGACTCTCAAAAATCCACGCTCAGGCCCTCGGCACATGGCAAAAGCGAGTCAAGGTCCCGACAAGGCGTACGCCAGTGCAACGGGTGTCGTTTTCTGAACAGCGCGGACATTCTAGAGCCTTCCCTGGGCGACTGTCACCTTCATTTCCATGAAGGCCTTCCCGCGACGCTACTCTCCTCGCCAATGCTGCCTCCTGGCTTGAACCTGGTATCCCTCGCCTTGACATGATTCACGCATGTAAACAATCACTAGCTGCCGCACCTTGATGTCACTCATCGCGATTGACATGTCGTCGATCAATTCGACACGAACTGACGTTGTGCGCTTCTTCAAGCTCGCACCATTGCATTAATATTTGATTAGGGGACCAATGCACGGATAAGGCCCTACAACAGATTTACAGCCACCAGAGATGACATCCCCTTCTCACATCAATTAACCCTTCCAAAAAAGGTTACACAGGTGGCAGGTAGAAAGCAATGGATACGATGACAGGTAGAGAATACAAGGGTAATGATATTTTGCCATGGCAGCAGTGCCAGACAGATGATAATACAAATGGGTAATACGCTCACGGAGAGCACAAACAAGCCGAAAACAGGAGCAACGCCCGCTAAACCGCTAGAATGCCGCGTAAGGATACGCTTCCCAAATTGAAGAAGGTAGAGCAAATACAACAAAATGAAAACAAGACCAGACACTGTCCAGATACCAGACAGCCAGCTCAAGGTGACACCAAAGGAAATGTCGAGCAGAGCGTTTTGTGTCGAGTGACGCGACCAAGAAAAAACATTAACGTGTGTGATGGCATGATATGTTCGTAAAGCGGTTCGTTATGTAGAAGGATATCCCGTGCAACGGCACATGTACATGACCAAGAAGGCCGCTGGTAGCGGCCCATAGATCAAGAGCTTTTGTTGCCGACAGATTGTTGGCGAAAATACACTGTGGAAATGCTCAAGTGGAAGTCACTCAAGTCATGCGTGATGCGAGAATGGCCAACGCAATGATGACACCAATCAGGAGCGTGCCGACTCCAGACATGACGCGATTCAGGTTGCGCCACCAGGTCGCTTTTTGGAAGGCTTTGTCGTCCACCGGGCCCACGGACTGGGCAAACTGCTGCTCCAAATCGGCCTGGCTGGAGGTAGAAGCACCAGCCATGTGGTTTGGGTTGAGAGGCAGGGGGAGGAACGAGGCAACAATCCATGCTGTTTTTTTTAATTAGTATGTGTTCACTGACATTATTAGGCTTGAACCGAATGGGGGACTTACACAGAGGGCAGATAAATCCCAAACAGAAGAGCAGGATTTGTCGGTTCTGGCGGCCAAGAAGCGTAACATGAACATCGGCGTCGAGAGATGGTGCGTTCCACGCACTGTATCGTGTATCTCCTCGGCGATCGGTGCGGAGATGTGGTGTCGAGTATTGCCTGATATGGTACATACGAGCACCGGCTCCGTGGGCTGCACCATCAATGGATTGAGCGTCGTCGGCAAGGGAGACGGTGTCAGCGAACGAGGCAGCTCGGTGCCGTGGACGATTTCGTGGGCGGTAAATGTTGGGCGGGTAATTGCTCTCAGAGGGTGTATGTGACCGTCCACTCTGTGACATTTCCTGCACTACACTTTCCGCATACTCTGACTCCGGGGCACCTCCCGAGATTCGCTCGCCCTTCTGGTAGTAGGCTCTTGCCCATGCAGGAATGTTGTTGGCGAGGAAAATGGACACGCTGGACTGAGCGGAAACTGGTCGAGACGTCTCGTCCATGGACATGCTTTCGACGCTGTTGGCCTTGCGCAGATAGCCCGAGTTCTTCACACGCAACGGAACCGATGAAGGCAATGGCGAGATTGTGTCTAGGTGTTCGCTGTTGTTGTCATCGAGCGAGCTCTTCGAGGCCGGCGAGAAGAGTGGTTGGGGCACTGCCGAGTACTCAGAGTGTGCTTCGGAAGATGCATTGTCCAGAGACGACTGCGCGCTCGAGACCGTCTGTCCTCTCCGTCGTGGAATGTTTGTCCGGCCACTAGCACTATAGCTTTCCTGTGAATGCGACCTGGCCCCAAATGACCGCGAGCCTCGAGCGATTGAGCGCGAGTCGCGCTCGGATGCCGAGGGGATAGTCGATAGTTGGGAACTCCATTGGTGTAGCGACGAGCGGTCCTGCATCCGGGACACGAGGCTGGCTTGGTTCTGGGACTCAGCCCGCAATGTGCTGGACGAGGGCACGCGTACAATGGGGTAGTTGATTCGAACACCGCTCGCAAAAGAGACCGTGCTGGCTTCATGAGAAATTGGTGATGTAGTTGGCTCGATGCTAGTGGACGAAATATCAGAAAACGTTATCGAATCTGTGCTTTGTTGAGGCTTCAATACATGTTGTCGATTGTCAGTGTCACTAGTGAGTGCAGAACGCCCTGCTTGAAAGTCGGAAGACGGGGTTGATTCGTCGCCTTGTGGTAGCGGGGGCCCGATACTGAGACGCGACGTGTTTCCACCATGGCCAGAAGAAGATGGGTGGGCGGCGAGGATGGTTGAGGCAAAGGATGCAGCAGAGGCCTTTGGGGTCAATGCACGGTTGCGACTCTCGAACGAATCACCACCAGACGAGGAGGGAGGGACAGCGCGGATGGTTGGCCTCTGGCTGCGCGGCTCCTCTTGAAGTACGTCGAGGGTGTCGCCATCGTCAAACTCTGGTGGGGGTGACGACGGGGCAGTGCTGTCCTGCGAGAATCTTACAGATGAAGGGGTAAAGGCAGAGGATACAAAAGTATCTTCCTCTGACGTGCTAGTTGCGGCTGAGTGCCTGACACCCTTTTTCCGTGACACAATTGGCTGTGGTGTCTGCACCCGGCTGGCCTCGAACTTTGCAACGACACTGGCTACCTGGCTGTTAGATGAAACGCGAGACCCTGGCCTCTCGGGTCTCTCGAACCCATAACCCGGCGCATGACGGGGTGGAGATAGAATCTGCGAGGGTTCGCTGGGCACTGGGTACTTTTGATAGATGTCATCGGGAGTGTCGTGCACTAGGCGGATTGTGGGACTTGAGTGCTGATTGGCCTGCGAGTTTGAGCGTTCGTGAAGCGGTCTTCGGACTGGGGAGGAATCCTTTGATGGTGATTTCGGGGGCGAGAACCGGGGGCCTTGTGGAAGAGTTAATGCGGTTGGCGTTTTGGCGCGTTGGTTTGATGAGGACATGCTGCTGCGCAGGCAGCTGTCGCGGTGGTGGTGGTGTAGTTGTTGTTGTTGTTGAAGTTCTTCTTGATGTTGTTTTTGTTGTTGGGGGTGCTGGTGTTGGTGCAGGCGCGGGAGCTGACTGGGTGGGTCGGATGTCCAAGGCTGTGGGATGCAGGCTTGCGAAAAAGTCGAAACGGGGCATTAAGGATAAAAAGGCGCAGGGTGTAAAAGATTGTATGTGAAGGGGTGCAAAAGAGCGACTGAAAAGCTAGAACATGTCAAAAACGACGAAAAGAGTGGCGGCCCGTAGGCGATTAAAGATAGTGGGCGGTTGGAGGAGAGGGAGAGAGAGGGAGAGGGAGAGGAGAGGAAAGCGAGCGACGGTGGGCGGAGAAGAGGAAGCGGAACAGAAGCAAGGGAAGGACGGACGTTGACAGGTTGGCAGCAGCTCGGCCTAAAGAGGGTTCGTGGCTGGATATGCAGATGCAGGTTCGCGGGCTGCAGTGCAAGTGGGATCCTCCAGTTGGCAGCAGCTCCGCCCAGTAGCCGGTGCAGGCGGTCAGGCTCAGGCACAGGCACAGGCACAGGCACAAGTACTTGACGCGTGCACAAGCAGCAGCAGCAGCAGCAGCAGCAAAGCAGCACACGGCCCAGCACCAGCCCGTCGACGGTTTAGCCGTGAGCGACAACAGGCACGAGGCTGTGGTTGAGCGTGCAAGCACTGTATGCACTGGCGACGATGCGACGTGAGGCTAGACGCGCAGTCTGCTGGCCGCCCCGATGCTCTCCAGGAACCCTCGTCCGGCCAGGCTCTCGACGTATTGGCGGGCAAAGGCACAACGCGACAACGCGAGTCGGCGGGCGAAATGATTGTAATTACAGCCGACGCAGCCAGTGACGACGGACGGGAGGGCGCTGCAGGGGGAGGGACGCGCCGGGGGTTTCAAGCGGATGGATCCAAGCCAGAGTGGGAGAGAGGCTGCCAGTGGTGCCAGTGGTGCCAGTCCAATTCGAGTCGGACCGGCCGGTGTACAAGTGGAGTCGAGTCGAGTCGAGTCGGGCGAGGATTAGCTGATTATCGATAAACGAACAATGGCGGCGAGAACAACGAACCGGTTCAACCGCTCTCGCGATATTGCGACAACGCGGGGGGCAGATTGCCAGGCCATATAAGTACAACTCTCCCACAACACCAACCCGTTCGCAGGGGGGCGATAGCGTGTTTGACCGTTGGCGCTGTGCTGCTGTTCAGCGCCTTCTTTTTCGTCGCACTCGTCCCCAGTCTGCCATGCCACCACCACCCACACGCTGGCGCGAGGGTTTCAGCGCCCTCCACGCCGTCTATCAACGACACGTCAAGGGCGGTAAGTAGCGATCCATTGGCCTGTGAGCCTCCCCTTTGTCTTTGCCATGCGCTTTTCTTGACGCCTGCCCCGGCCCCAGTTCCGCCTGTCCTTCGTCTCCAGCTCTGCAAACGTGTCGAAACATGGCCCTCGCCTCTAACCCGTCGTCAGTATCCCAGCCGCCCGTCCTCTGCGCCAATGCTGCAGCGCTTCTGTCGGTATGTTTCATCCTCGCGCACCCACCACCACTGCCGCCTGCACTCGCTGCACACTGCTCCCGCACTAAAAATATACCACCCACTGACGCGTGTGTTTCCCAGGCTGCCTATGTCTTCATCTACGTAATCCCCTTCTACCTCTCCTCCGCCACCAGACCTTCCGTCTCCCTCTCGCGCGATGCTCCCTCGTCCATCCGCGCCAGAGTCCGCGCCGTGACCTTCTCCACCCTTCTGTGCACCCTCATCACAGTAGTCCTGCTCCACCGCCATGATGTCGCCATCCCGCAGATCCTCGCTCTCCTTGGTTTGTGGCCTGTGTCGCCCATGGACACCATCCGCACCATGCTCCTAGTCGTCATTCTCTTTGCAGGTCCTCTGTTCGAGAATGGCATAGTCGACGGTGATTGGCGAGACTGGATACAGCTGAATGGCCTGCACCAGTCATTGAGCAGTTGGATCGGATACAGGAACTTTGTAGTTGTACGTCCCCACAGCGTACCGTAGATCTCCCTTCAGCCCGCCTAACTTCACCAGGGACCCGTCAGCGAAGAGCTAGTTTGGCGTTCCCTTATCGTGCCCCTCCACGTCCTAGCCCGCTTCTCCGGCAAGCAGATCGTCTTCCTGACCCCACTCTACTTTGGCATTGCCCACGTCCACCACCTGTACGAGTTCCGCATCACCCACGCACAGGTCCCCCTCGCCTTGGCAATTGCCCGTTCCCTCTTCCAGTTTACATACACCTCGCTCTTCGGCTTCTTCGCCGCCTTTGTCTTTGTGCGCACCGGCAATGTCTACTCGTGTGTCTTGGCCCACGCCTTTTGCAATTGGATGGGACTGCCGCGCTTCTGGGGTCGCGTTGGTGTCGAGGCTGGTGTGCCCATTGGTCCCTCAGACGTCGCCAAAAAGGACGACGGTGATCCAAGGGCCGCACCTGCGTATCAGGGAAAGGGCATCGCATGGACTGTAGCATACTACCTCATCCTGGTAGCTGGAGCTGTGGGCTTCTACTACCAGTTATTCCCGCTGACCGAGAGCAACCATGCTCTGCCTGTGACACTGACCAGGACGTAATGGTTTCATATTGCTTCTCCCGAGAACCGTCACCTGCGTCGCGCAATGGCCCACCAGTTGTCCTTTTCGTATCCCGACTCGAGCACAACTCCGCCCGCCTGCTCAATATCGCTCTCAAGCTCGCCTTTGCGATATAAATGATAATACCTCAAAAATGTCTTGTCTCCTTCGGCCGTCTTCCCCTTCTCTTCGCTCCCGTTCTCTTGCATCACATTGTCCTTGTTCTTTTTCCGCTTTGCGTCCTTCTCCTTCTTCTGCTTCAGCACCCATGGCACCATGACATCCTGCTCGTGGCCTTCGTCCCAACCGCGCCGGCTGTCTTTCTGCTCAAGTGCCCATACGTAGATGAGTGCCTTTCCTCCGGTTGTGCTCATGTCAGCAGTTCCATTTCCATGGCTAGATTCCTCGTGACCTGATGTCGACGGCGGTTGCAGGAGATCCAAAACACTCTTGACAGCCTCTATTCTCCGCTCTGGCGTAGACAAGTGATGCACAACGGCAATGGATATGGCAAAGTCGAAAATGCCCTCTGGATGCGGGAGAGCAAGGTTATCCGCCACGACTACATCGTGTGGTTCATGCCGTCTGGCAATCTTGACCAAATTCGTAGATCTAGAGTACTTGATGTGAGGTTCGGAACAGAGTAGAACAGTGCGGAACAAACGAAAGCCAGACCGTGTCCCTTTTTCAACAAATTCAACTCAGAATATGAAAAAGCAACACTCCCCAAACAAATACCCAAACAAATGACGTACATAGCAACTGGAAGTGCTGTTCTTTTTTTTCGGACAGAATAGGAAGGACGGTGAAAAAAAAAGAAGAGAAGAAAACTTACCGATCACTCCCCACAATCCACACTTTATCATTCACACCCAGATACTTGCCATTACCACACCCTACATCCGCCCCAATCGCCCCATCGCGCTGTTCGCGTAGGAACCGATCTACAATCGGCCAGGGCTGCATTCAACTGTATTAGCAAAGAAACCTTGGCAATACATCCATGAAATTCATCAACCAATAAATTTACAGATGATAGTAATAATTGTTGTTTTTTTATTGGATGAGGGAGAGAGAGAGAGAGAAAGGGAGGCTGTGTTGAACAGATACCATTATCGATTTTTTTGCTTTTTCTTACTGTAACGGGCGGGATGACACGAGATAGGCAAATGGAAGGGGGGGGGGGAGGAGAAGGAGGGTTAAAAAAACACAGACCTTATACCGTGTCGAAGAAAAGTGTTCGGCGATTTCTTCGTAAACAGCATGGACATGGGTTGCTTCGTAGGATTGGGGGGGTTCGTCTGTGTATGTCATTTGTGCGATGTGTTGGGGAGAGATAAAGGTTACGTAGTAAACGTAGTGGAGGAAAGAAGGAATAAAGGGAGGGAAAAAAAAGAAGGGTTGTAGTGAAAGTGTGTAAGTACGTTGTAAAGGTAAAGTGACTGCTGTGTGTGTTGCAAAGAAAAAAAAGGAGCCAATGAGGGGTTGAATCCTGATGCCAAGACACTACTACAAGATGGACTTTACCCTTATCTTGTTTCTTATGAAGTATACTAGAATAAACATTTCCTCTTTTGAAATTCAAAATGTAAATTTGATATGCAGAACTACAATCTCCTCCTTCTCATGAAGCGGGATGAATCTACTCGTCAAAACACTGACAATCCCCCACATCGCCTCCAACCCTCCACCTACTAACCATACTCGCACACCTCCACGCCACATCGACCCGTGAGCACTGAAAAATCAAACTCCACATCCGCTCAACCGTATACCCAAAGTCCGGGGCGCTCATCTCATCCGGCCTTCCTTTAAGAAAACTTTCTTGATGCGCCCAGCTCTTCTCATCTACCAGCGCAGTCCACATATTCTCATATAAACTCTTATCCACACCACGAATGCGCGCTGCGGAAACAGCGAATTGGCCTTTGTAACTAAGTAGCACATGGTCACACTGAGTATTGGCGCCGTAAATCTTCGCGTACGTCTGCGGGACAAATTGGATTTCGTCGGACCAGAAGAGGCGGTCGGAGCACGAGTGGCAGTTGCAGAGTGTGCCGACCCACGCGAGATCCAGGAAGCCGGTGCGGGAGCGAAGAAAGTAGTTTGTGATTCTTGTGTAGAATTCGCGGGGATTGTGGATTTCGGCTTGCAGGAAGAGAGTTTGCTGCGCCAGTGTGTCCCACCGGCGCAGGATGTGGTTGAGATAGGTTTCGCCTTCGCGGCCGATGTTGGGTAAGGGGAAGACTTGGTTTACGCCGAGCTGGGATTGGATATGGGAGGGTGATGCGCTGCTGTCTTTGATGTAGACTGTGATTTGAGCGTCGGAGAGGGCGGGGATGCGTTTGAGGTTGCGGAGGAGAGTGGCGATGCCGTCGAGGGGTTCTTTGTACATGCTTATTACAATTTCCATGGGGATTTGGGGGACGTAGTTGCGATCGAGGGCGACGGGCATGCGTGGCTCTGGTCGTTCTGTGAAGTTCAGAACGCCATATGCTATCCATAGAGAGGCGATGCTGATGCCGAGAAGATACTTCGAAAGAGACTTGGTGGGTAAGCTTAAACTCACTGAAGACGATCTTATACGTCCATATGAGTTGTAGGCGAACCGGGTATTGGGCAGTCGAGCAGGGGGCACACGAGACCACGCCCAGCTGCCAATGCACGTTGTGGCAAGCCAAAAGCAGCAGAACTGGTATATGTTCGCGTACGAGCGGCGGGTCAGGAGCGTCGAGTAGCATCCTGCAATGCCAGCGAAAACAGCAACAGTCAAAGCGTCAAAGATGTGATATACTGGGGCATCAATAGTATGAAGAGACGTACTGGCTACTTCGTCGTCGACAGGCAGCACCATTGACTTTCCCAGCTTCATTGCCATGGCAGTAGACACGGCGTTGACGCTGAGGAGCAGCCCGTTTCCGGCTCCAATGGCGAAAATGTGGCCGTTCAGGCCAAAGATTATTGCCGACAGTGCGCCTACCAGCGCCCCTGCGATGACATGCAAGCTCGCCTGATTCACATTATTGGAAAGGACATCTGGCTGATGCATAATGGCAGTCTTCCAGAGGCCCCTTGCCACTCCCGCAAACACCATGGCCAAGATGCCCATGACCAGGCCGGGCACAGTGATTCGATATTCTGTCAACAAAAGACCAACGCTCGCTAGCAAGAGTACACACGTGGGAAGCATGTCTGCGTACGTGACAGAAACCGAGCGGAGAGCACGACGCACCACGTCTTCAGCAAATATGGCTATGGGCTATTTTGGCGTCAGTCTTTTTTTGCTGGGGGACCGATTCGTCCAGATGTATGTGTGTGAAGTCTTACTGTAATCATGACCAAGACGGGGAGATTATAAAAATGCAATATTGCCTGCAACAGACACATGGTAGACAGGTACATGAAGCACATGGAGCCAGTGATGAGCGTCGTTCCTCTGTTCCTCGATTTCCACGGCCGCAGCTTTCGACGAAATGGACGCTGGATGATTCCCCAGCCAAAAAACGGTCGCAGGGCCAGTAAGCTCGTGAAAGCTAGCTGGTTAAAGTAGAGGCGCTGCGGATAATGCATGTTGCGCTCTACGAGCAAGTGTCGTGTGCTGAGTAGCGATGCACTGACGCAGAACATCCATATCAGATAGCGCTGGATACGAGCATTGTCATGTGTGGGATTGAGCCGCCCACTCATCGACTCGGCGCGAACCTTCCTTACGTACGCATCTGGTATCATGGCCATCTGAAGAAGAGGCACAGGCGCCGGCGAACGGGGAGGGAGTGGTGGCTACGACGAAGCAACGATTGCGACTGCCGTGTGGAAGTCATCCGAAATTAGGGATTGAGCGTCGTCTTTGCTTGTTCAGCGCATCGGCCCGGCGCGTAGTCGAGGTAGCCGGATTGGCGTGGATACGCGTGATGCGATGGCAATGTGGAGGCGACGACAGCGTGGATTGGGCGTGAGGGTACATTTGTCTTCATCTTGTCTCCAACGCTGGACGCGCGCGTTTTCTGCATGGCTCACCTCAATCTGGCAAACTGGGCTGCCCCACTTGCACTTATGCTTTGAGCCGTGCGCACCCCGCCAACGTCAGACACAACTTTACGGACTTGGCCATGCTACACCCATGTACAAGCCTCTTGGGCAGAATGATCGTAGAGAATTAAGACTTGTAGTAAGAGATGGAGAATTATTCCCTTTCGTGTTTAAGAAAATCATTATCGCTATGAAAAACAACATGCCTCCATGCCTCCTCCCCATTAAACACCTTGTACCTTGCGGTAACTAGGCGGCTTCAACGTCCTCCTTAGCAGCTTCACCGCATACGGCGGCAACAAACTGATTGCTGCAATGACCGCAAACCTCCACCAAAACGCCATGCTTCCCACATACGCGAGATCAAAATACTCGTCCAGAAACGGTACAGAGCCAAAGTAGATACCTGCTGTTCCCACAATGCTCGCAATCATGATCCAATGCCACGTTGTGACTTCCATAGCCACCATGATCAATTCGTTGACAATAAGCACCGAGAAGGAGACAGACACCATCTTGAGAAATGTCGGATCTGCAGTCTCACCTGCGTCTGTCGCATGTCCTACACCAATAAGAAGCTGACTGCAACCCTGAATAATGGAGCCTTGGTAGATAGACACAGCGACCCAGATGAAGAACGACTTGTACGACAGCGACCGCCCTGTCTTGAGTTCGGCATACAGCTCGGGATACAAGTTGGCGACGCTCTCGTCCACGTCGCGGTCTAGAACAAGAGAAAAGACCGGCATCATTGTGTAGATAGTCGAATAGCCGACCAAAAGCCAGTCCTTGTACAAAGCATTGGGCTCAAAGCTGCTGGCAATCGAAAAGACTGTTTGGCAGATGGAAATGATCAACCCACGATGAATGACAAACTGAGAGAGCTTGGCAGAGCGTTTGTACGAGTTGCGGCCATGCCAGACGAGCAGTTTGACCAGGTAACAGAATTGCTCAATCGAAAAGTCGGCGGCAAGGGAGGCCTGGCGGCCTTCTTTGCCCACGATACCAACACCAACGTCGGCAGCTTGGATCATGGATACGTCGTTGCCGCCGTCGCCGATGCAGCATACGCGCTTCTTAGTGAACTCGCGAATCAGGCGCGCGACGTCTGCTTTCTGCGTGGGAGAGCATCGACATGCGACAACAGTGGGAAGTTGTACAGCCACGCTTATGAATTCCTGTCGAAAGTGCTGCAGAAAGAGAGCAAGCGACTCGCCATCAATAAGCAGACAGGAATCGAGCTTTCCACGAAGAAAGTCGAGGGACGAGGATGCAAGGTCTTTGCGTTTCAGCTTAGCAATTGTGTGCACATATTGTCCACGTGCTACCAGTTTGGAGCTGACGGCTACGCAACGCGCCGTTTCGACCTTGTCGCCAGTCAACATCCAGATCTTGATACCCGCATTGCGAAGAAGCTCGAGAGAAGGCTTGACATCCTTTTGTAGTTTGTCCTCAACACCTGTGACGCCAAGAAGTTCTAGGTCATGCTCGAGATATTCTTTGACAACACCAGCAACCGAAGCATCACGGTTGCTGAGGGCAAGGGAGGCCTGCGCGTACTTGGTGGTGAAGTCCTGGTATGTCTGAGACGACAGCTTTTTGCGGCCTACAACTAGAGTGCGGAGTCCTTCGCGGGCCATGTTTGCCGTCTCTTCATCTAACCAGTCGTTGGCGGCGACGATCGACGTCATGACGGTATCTGCACCTTTTTGGTAAAACCAGATCTCACCATCCTCATCAGTCGGTGAGGATGCAGGTCCGTGGTAGAACTTCACAACGATGCCCATCCGTTTGCCCTCCGACGTGAACGGAAAAACATTCAAGATACGGACCTTGACGACTTGTTTTCCACTATCACATGAAAGGAGAGTCATGGACTCGCGGTCTCGAGACAGGAGCTTTAAACCAACGGCCTCGGTCCAACGTACAATGGCAATCTCGTCTGGAGATGATGCTTGGTAGGTAGTAACTTCTTCACCATTCTCTTCCTCAGTCGTTGGCGTTACGTTGTGGCAGAGTGCCAGCGCCAGCACAACGTCGCGAACTCGTGATCCAATTTCCCTACGGGTACGTGTGGCAGAAGTAAGAGGGGCGATGTAAGCGGATAAGGGTGTGACGAGCGAGGGAGCTTCTCCTGCAGGAGGTGTGAAACACTGGCGAACATACGACGATACCTCGTCCATGGCCTCATTTGCATAAGAGACGGTGCCGACGTGGATCTTTTTCATTATCATTTCTGTAGTCCGTTAGCCATTTCAAGTTACAGGAACTAGGGTACTATACCGTTTTGTGTCAGAGTTCCCGTTTTGTCGCTCAAAAGATATTCTATCCGCCCCAAATCTTCAGGAATAGTACTAGTGCGGACAATCGTTCCTTTGATGCTTTCGTCGTGCTGGATAAACCATGCATACACTGACTTTCCCATGTCAAGATTGACACGCAAACCCACAGGGACGATGGTCGAGAACAGAATGAGAAATCGCAGCATGGAAGCCCACCATTGCCGACCTTGGATTTCTTGAAACCGTGCGAGCGCCACAAGGATGAAGGATAGCGAGAGAGTAAAGATACACAGCCATTTTGTGAGCGAGTTGATCTCCAGTTCCAAAAGACCGGTTTTGGATCTTGAAGGCGAAGTTGAAAGCGCCTGACGCGTCTGGGGTCCAGTATATACCACTACTGCGAGAAGACTGCAGCTCGACGCCACGACCGTATTCGCCCAGATGGTGTTGTCAATGCTAAGAGGAGCTGACCGTGCCTCTTCAGATGAGGAAGGTTGCTCACTGTCGTGGGGATCGTAGTGCCGTTGGCTCTTGGGCAGAAGCTCCACAGTTCCATAGAACTCATTAACCTTTTTGTCTGGTTTACCAGCGACAACTCGAAGTCGCGTATACTCTCCGACATCCAGATTCTGTGTCAACGGGGACGTAAGGCGCAGCTTCCAATCAGTTTCACCGTCCAATTGGTCAGTTCTGATAAAGGCTTCACCTGAAGACCCGCTCGTTGCGACGCTGTCAGCCTTTGCCGTATCCACGGGCTCCTCACTATCGATCAACGGGACCAGTGGGCTTTGTGCATTTGCACCAGCTGGGGTAGCAGTACTGATATCAGTGGACTGGCTCTTCAGAAGCACCATATCAGCTGGCACTCTTTGGTCCTTTCCAAGTTTGACCACATCGCCGACTTTGAGGCTCCTGGAAGGTTTTGTAACTTCCCAGTAGGTGCAGGTTGCCAATCCCTTGCCAGAGAGCCGCTGTTCCTCATCTTCAATTTCTGAGAAGCGGCCTTCATTTCTGTTCTGTTTTCTCAGACGCTTTTGCCTTTGCGAGCTTCTGCCTGGGGCAACGCCAGTTCCTTTGCTGTTCTCCTCAAACTTCAGTACGGTGTAGCCCTCAGAGTTAGCTTCTGCATCTCTTCGCCGTCGGGCGATATCATCCATAGCCTCCTTCCCGAGAGTTATGGTTATGACAAAGGCTAGTGGGGCGACGTAGGTCGAAAGGTAACCAATTCGTAATACTGGTATGACTTGCGACAGCGCAATAAGCAAGAAATACATGTTGATGAAGAAGGAGAATTCGTTGTACAAAGTACGTGGAAGAAAACTCCAGGGCGTGTACTTTGCATTCGAAACCGCATTTGCCGGGAATCTTGATGTCTGAAGCTGGCCGACAGAAATGGTCCGTTGCGTGGTTGGATCATGCTCCTCTTCGGCATCTTCCTCCCCATCCTCGTCGAGTTTTATAGCAGCGCTGCTATGCCGCGACAGGAAACTCGGTATTCGCATGCTCGACCCTAATCTTGACATGGTACTTTGTGGCGGTTGGTGTCTTTGGGCAGTTCGCTGGGCCGGTAGCAAGGGCGAGTCGTCCTCCCCAGACTGACCATAACTGCCAGCCGAGTCCCTCTTTGGCCTTTCATCATCGTCCAATAGGCCCCTCAAGTCGTCCTCTTCAGCCTCCTGCTTCTTCTTACTTGCTCGTAGTCTGCCTACTCTCAGGTTTCTCAGTGGTATCCTTGCGCCAAGTTCGTGGTATGGCCTCCTCTTGTCTTTTGAATTACGTGGCGGCGGGGTGGCAGCTGCTTGTGAGCGAGATGCTAGAGGGTCCAACTCCTCCAAGTCTAGTTCAAGGTCAGAGTCCTCGTCTGGCGCATTCGGTTGGTGGTACTGGTGTGGAGCAGCCATGGCTTATGGACGGACGACAATGGCGCAATGGCGTATGAGGGAAGTATCTGTTCTCTAGCAACCTCATGCGCGGTCGGTTGGGGCGAGGGGAGTGTTTATGGCTATGGTGGCTGCCTTCGGGGGTCCGCGGTGTTTCGGGGGTGTCTGGATATGACGCCCAGGCGTTCAGACTTCTTGTTTCGGGCGCGGACGAATGTTTCGACGATGGCGATAGAATCCGGAGGTTGGTCGTCACCTATAGGAGTATCCGGTGTGTGTTGTAGGATATGATAATTGTGAATAGTGTCGTGCATGCATCTGGCACGAGGCGCGGCACGATGGAGCAAGTGTGGCGCAGGTACGTAGAGTGGCTTAAGGCCAGGGTTGCAGCGGCGGGCCGTTTCCAATGTCCAAAGGCGTGAACAGCTGTCCAGATTACCCTACATTACACTCGCACGCACATCGACTGAATCGCATGCAATGCCGCCGGAACTCGCCCCTAGTATTTGATCCTCACTTTCATTCTGGCCGAGAGCTGTGCCCTTGATACTGTGCGGCACACCGAGCTCGCGCTCTCCCGCTTCCATAGAGGTACGTCCCGCGAGCCTCTGACGTACAAAGGGATGACGATCACTCTGGCCTATGTACATTCCGCGACACACTCCCCGTCGCAACTTTTTTCCCGTGCCTTCTTTTCTAGCCTTGCCTGACCCATTTCTTTCTTTTGTCGAGCTCCCTGTGTCCCTTTCGCGTCTTCTACCAGGCGCATCTCCTCAATTGCATCTTCGGAACCCGACATCTGTGCTCCACTGTCAAGACTCCGCATCTGAGTTACCAAAGACCGACTGTAGTGCTGACAGCTTCCATAGCGCTCATAGATACCCCATTCATTACCTAGTAATCGCCTCATGGACGAAGACGCCCCCAACTTTTCTTATGCCTATGGT